GGCCGTGCCGCCGGCGCCTCAGCGCTCCCGTTACGCGCCGCCGCCGCTGCAGCCACAGAGCTTTTCCTTGGCCTTGCGTGGGGCAGCGAGAGGAAACCGGGCAACATGAAAACGGTACTTTTAACTTTTTCTTACTTAAAGCACAGACTGGTGGTCCGGGGGCTATCAGCAAAGCGAGCTGCTTTGTTCCGGGGACGCCTACTGGAGAGCCGAATCGTAGAGCGTGCTGTTAAAATCTATAAAAGCAGTGATTTCTTAACCATTAAGTAAAAGCGAGCTTTTAGGAACGATGGCACCGTGTAGTTCAGACAGCATTGCAGTTTCAGCAGTATCCATCTTCCCTAAAACGTTTTCCCGAGGAGTTCTCTTGTGCTTGAACGTTTTACCAGGACTTTGTTGTTTGAGGTGGGTGTGACAAGTACTGCTGTTGGCAGACTGACTGTGAAGCAGTTGTGGTTGTGAAAATGTGCAGAACACTTTGTACTAGTTTTTTTTTGGTAACTTATAAAAGGAGGTTATGTTTAAATCCTCATTTTTTATATATTTTTCTGGATTAAAAATACCTCTGCAACGGCCTGCCAAGTTTCAGATGTAAGCAACTAATCTTACTACCTGAAGTGCAGCTCGTTGGTTGCTTTTTGGGCTAGTTAATAACTTGTACCAAGCACCACAATTTCCTCACCCTTGTTTGAATTTTCTGCCCCAAATAGACAAAGCAATTAGCACATCCTGCCAAATTCCTGTAGTTGTTCTGAATTCCTTCAGATTTTATGTCTCTGTACATCCATCTGAAATACTTAGTTACATACCACCTTTTAAAAGTGTGATGAAGATGCTGCCAAATTCTCTGTAGTATTCATAGAGAAATATATAAGGCAAATTCTCAAACCTGTCTGGCTTTTGCCAAAGTATTCCCAAAGAAATGCTGCAAAAAGGGCTTAAGAAAGAAGTTTTTGTTTCCTATTTGTGAAAGTTTGGGGCTTTTTTTCTCACTTTGCATCACATTTATATGTTTGCTTTACTATTCAGTACCCCCCAAAGCATAACTTTCTTACCTGACTCTTGTTAGACACTAAAAGGAGGAAAAAAAATCTTAAAGCTGTTTAATTGCAAATGTTTTATAGCACTAATGGAAGCCTGAGGATTGGAATGCAATTCTTGGAAGTATTATGGCAGTCACACTAAATCAGGAACAAATCAAAACTTTTTGTTGGAGTTTTCAAGTCAGATTCCTTTCTACCTGCTTGTTTTTAAAGTCACTTCTTAGTGCTCACAGTAATTTATAAATATTTGATTTAAAAAGTGTAGATAGAGGAAAAACACACTTGTGAGGAACAATATCTGAATGTATAGATGGTAATAAAAACTTTTGTACTGTTTATTCCAGATTATATTCGATATTTAAACGATAAAGCTCTCTGCTTTTTTAGGTTTTTTTTAGGGGAAGGGATGTATTGAGATGATAAAAACTTTTGTACTGTTTATTCCATATTATATTTGATATTTAAATGATAAAGCTCTCTGCTTTTTTATGTTTTTTTTTAGGGGAAGGGATGTATTGAGGTCTTGGCCAGTGAGCAGCATCTTGAATTTTAGAGTTTGTCAGAAATCTGTGTTCTGGACTTATTCTGTGTAAAAGCTAGTCAACTTATCAGGTCTAGTTAACTAACTTGCTAGGCTTATGTTCTTGTTATTACTAAAATTGTACCTCTGCATTGTTGTCTCGTCTTCAGATGACGGGATCAAACGAGTTCAAACTAAACCAGACTCCAGATGATGGGATTTCATCAGTGAAGTTTAGTCCAAATACATCTCAGTTTCTGCTTGTCTCCTCCTGGGACACGACTGTCCGCCTCTATGATGTTCCTGCCAACACCATGAGACTCAAGTATCAGCATTCAGGAGCTGTCCTTGACTGTGCCTTTTATGTAAGTGTGGGAGGTGTTTTTAAGAAATTATTTGTGCCACTTTTTTTTTTTTTTAATAGAAGGTTTCAATTAGCATCTTCTTTTCTTTGTATCATGTTCTGGCATGTCCTCCAGTGTCTTGATCTTGATGTGTAATTGAATGTTTTAAGGATTGGTTTAAATTTTTTTATTTTGCCTGTGCTTTTTCACTGAACATTTTGTCCCAGAGTTGATATCATGGTGTGGATCAACACAGGTTCTCAAGTGGTTTCTAGTTTCCAAATTAGTTTTAGGGGAATACACTTCAATTAGGTGGAACTGGCTTAGGTTGACAGTTGTTTAAAAATAAACATTTTGTGTTTTTACTTTCAAAGTAAAAATGTTAAGTAAAAATGTAAATGTAAAAATGTAAAGTAAAAATGATCTGATACAGCCTCTAACTGCTTTTGTTTCTTTTTAGTTTTACTTTTCAAGTAAAAAAAATTATGTAACTTAAAGTGATTTACTTCAACATTTTTATCTGGGCTGGATCTTAACCCTTGTGTCTTAATTCCCATCTTCCCAAAACTTGTCCTAAGCAAGTCCTAAGATGAAATTTTTTTCTTTATAGGATCCTACCCATGCCTGGAGTGGAGGATTAGATCAGCAATTAAAAATGCATGATTTAAACACGGACCAAGGTAAGCAGATTGAATTCTGTAAGTGGTCTCAACAACTGGCCTAAGCTTCAGATTTCTATACTTATGTGAGTGGAACAGATTGTTTTTTCTAGATGGATATTGGCTTTAAGTAGTAGCCTCTGTTGATTTGTTAGTGCAGTGCTCAGCAGTTTCTTTTCCTGTGCAGCTCTGAGGCACTGGGCAAGGCTGGATTCCTTCCTATGTAACTGAAGGTTGTGCTGTAAAACCTTTCACAGCATTCCAAATCTTTTGCTGCCAAACTGAGGGTTTAAACTTCTCCCCTGATGAATATTCCTTGATGTATTTTATATGGGTATTCATTTTATTTCCTTAAAGTGGAAGGAAAGGAGAGGAAATGGCTATGTGCTTGTCATACTGATGGTTTGAGGTTCACATCATACGTGCCTTTATGTAGCAGAATAAATACTGACCCTGTGAAGTACCACCTGAAAGCAGGGGAGTGTTTGGCAGTTCACCAGAAAGTTTGTTAGGTGCTTGCAGGATGCTTTGGGTTGAATTTATGATGATAATCCTGCTCTGCCATAGGCTACTGTGTTAGGGGAATTAGGGAGAATAAGCTGGACTAAAACTGAGCATGTTTTTGAAAGGTTTGTGGTTGAGACATATTTAGGATGATCTTTCACATGCACGGCAGAATGCATGTAAAGCTTTTGTGTTGCCAAACATTGTAGCCTTATACTATATTTTTTTAACAAAGCATTGCTAGAAAATAGCAGCTGGTGCAAAATTCAGAGCTAGTTTATCCAGCTTTTTTTTTTGTATATTTGTGTGTTACAAAATGAATCAGCTTCAAATAACCGTGGTCATCGGAGCCAGCCAATAGATAAGTTACAATATATTCTATTTTCTTACAGAAAACCTTGTTGGTGCCCATGATGCTCCTATCAGGTGTGTTGAGTATTGCCCAGAAGTGAACGTCATGGTGACTGGAAGCTGGGATCAAACAGTTAAACTGTGGGATCCCAGAACTCCCTGTAATGCAGGAACCTTCTCTCAGCCTGAAAAGGTATGTGCTGGATGCTGTGTTCTAGGTGATGTGCTGAATAATACTTCCAGTGACTGGCTAAGTGTCACCACACAGAGCACTCTCTGAAACTGAACCTGAGAAGTTATGGTTCATGTTTTTTTAAGCTGTGAAAATATTGCACGTGCTGAATAATACTTCCAGTGAGTGGCTAAGTGTCACCACACAGAGCACTGTCTGAAACTGAAGCTGAGAAGTTATGGTTCATGTGTTTTTTTAAGCTGTGAAAATATTGCATTTTAAAATACTGATATTCAGTATCTATTGTGATTTGAGGTTAAGGCTTTGAGCTTTCATCAGTAGGAGAGTGTAACTTAGTTCTGAGCACTCATTGTGGACCAAATTCTTATAAATTAAAACAAACTCGAGGAAGGAAAATCGTAACAAAAGCAGCCTGTGAAATTGAAGCAATGGCTAATAATCCTTGGCTTAATTGTAATATTCACTTTCAATTTCCTTACATGGAAGATTTCTAGATGTATTAGATTCTGGCAGTCATAAAGTCTGATTGGTTTAAAATGTGCATAGAGATGGAGTAGGAGGCCACTTATGTTGCCTGAAATAATTTGTTTTTTTCACATGTATTAATAGATAGAACAGAATTGCTTGTATTGTCATTTCCCAGCTGTTGTACAAATGCCTACTAAATTCAGATGTTCTCCTAATACTGAAATCCTCTGTGCTAATGAGAGATTAAAAAAATAAAGTGTAATGTGTTAGGCTTTTTGTAACAGTTATGTAGTGTGTTAATCATTGTACTGCTTTTTTCACATATATTAATAGATAGAACAGTTGTCATTTCCCAGCTGTTGTACAAATGCCTACTAAATTCAGATGTTCTCCTAATACTAAAATCCTCTGTGCTAATGAGAGATTAAAAAAATAAAGTTTAATGTGTTAGGCTTGTTCTTACAGTTATATAGTGTGTTAATCATTGTACTGCTTACAGTGGTGTCACTGAAAGAATTGTAGAACAGCAATTTCTGTATGTTTTTTCTTTATAGACTCCTAAACAAAGGCTGGAATGCTGGATAATTTTACATATTAATATTTCTTTGGCCTGTAACTTAGATTTCATTTAGCTTTGCCACACTGTATCATCAAATCATAATTATGAGCCCTCGTTACGTTCCCTATTGCATCTAAATAGCTGCTACTTCTGTTACAACATAGCAGAACCTACTTCTGGACAGACCTTTGTTCAGAATGAAGTAATTGCATTATTTCTAGTTTTGATTTATAGTTGTATGTAGCATGTAAAGAGCTGTGATAAATTGCTGACAGAATATCATATAATGGACAGCCACAGTGAATCAAGCTGCTTATTGGTTCAGCAAGGTTCATTATGTCATTTTTTTAATACTGCCTTTGATAAATGTGTACACCTACTCAACTGCATGACAATGGTTTCATTTGATTTATGGTTCTGTGGTGTAGAAAGAATACTTACCATACAGGTGTGACATCAGTTTGTAAAGCAGATTTAAGATAGTGAATGTTCTTAATGCCTTTGCTTCCATACCTGTGTGCAAACACACTTTATGTAATGTTTGTTTATGTTTTTGGATCAGTTCTTACACCAGTAATGAAGGGAAATGTGAAAAAAATTGTCCTGTTAAGGTGTGTAATTGCTGTTGGCTCAAAGTTTTCTTGCCCTTTCTACACGTAAATGGGATTTGGCAATTGGGATCATAAGAAATTTTAGTCAATTCCAACGTGAACATATAAGATATTTCCCATCATAACAGGGAAAATCAGTAATCCCATTTTAGAGCAAGAATGTGTGCTGGATTAATGTGGATTGGTTAGAAGAAGTTTTTATATATAAATATATATGTGAATATATGTACATATGTATATTTGAATGTGTACCCACATCTGCTTAGGTGTTTTAATTGGAAATTAACTTTTTGGAGACGTAATTTCTCCAGAAATGTTTACAACTGAAAAGTTTTGTCTGATATTTGAGTGCCTTCTCACCAGAACCAAATAGCTTTAGTGAGCTGTATCAGAGAACCAGCAAGTGAGACCCTGTGCTCGAGTGAAATTATACAAACACCTGCCAAAAGTAAATGCAATCCTTCTGGCAGGATACCAGATCCCTTACAGGTTTGATTCTTGGTCTGAGGTATACACAAGATCTGTTTCCTCTGCATTTAGCTGTGTTGGATCCCCTTTGGAAAAGCTCCTTCTGCCACTTGGCTCTGGTTAGCAGCTCGGTGACAGGGCAGCTGTAGGGAGCTGGGTTCCATCTTGTATCAACAACTTGTAATTTGTTTGATAGCAGAGAGCTTTTGACTGAATCTTTTTTCTTTTAACATCTTTCCAGTTAAAACTGCATTCCAAGCAAGAACTGGAAACAACCATTTATGCATTGAATGTTTTAATGAGAAATGTGATAAACAAAAATTAGCACCTCTGAGCCAGTTTTTGGAGTAGAGCTGAAATTCCAAGCCATATTCTTTTTTAATGATGTCAAGCATATTGCTCCCTTCAATTGCACTTAGTTTTATTGAAGTATACAAATATTTTTTTTTTTGTAATTTCCTGGCAGTTAATTTCTCTTTATTAACATGAAGCTCAGCTTGAAGTATTCAGTTTAAAAACAAAAAGACATGATTACCAGATGGAGGAGAACTGAGAAGAAAATGTGTGGTGTGGTTTTTATTGTAGGACTAAATTGCAGGATCATGAATTGATGGTGGGGAATGCAAGCTGTGCATGCCAAGCAAAGATGAATTCCAGTAGCCATGCCCTCTTTCCACCCACATTACTTTGTTTTGCTTTTGCCTTGAAATATCTGAGAAATTTAATGCTTGAAATAATTTTTGAGGAAAACTTGAATAATAGTGATTTTTCTTTTGAGTTTTATATAAACACTTCTGTACACGTGTAGCATTTAGAATATGGGTAATACCAACAAAAGGAAGAAATTCCATGTGTGAGAGGTTTAGATATCACTGAGATCTGGATAATAATAACTGGACAAATGTCCTTGAAATTTAGAATTGCTTAAGTGCATATACATGTAAAATTTTATTTTTGCTAAATTAGTTAAATGTAACATAGGACTGTGTTGGGCTTGGTTTTTGAGCTGTGTGTTAAGGTACAGAGTTAAGGGTGAGCTTTTGAAATGCTGTGTCAGTGTGTTATCACTAACCAGCTACACACTACTGCTTTTCATCCCAAATTTCTGGAATAAATGAAAGCTAAAAGCAATTCTGTAGCTACAGACTTTATTGTAGGTGCTGCGTGTTTCGTTACTGCATATTGCTGCCATTTGATTTTGTACAAAGAACAGTGGGTGCTCAGGCTGACGAGTGTTAAATACTGTGATTTTATTGTTGTTTTAAAGGTGTACACGCTCTCTGTGTCTGGAGACAGGCTGATTGTGGGGACAGCAGGGCGGAGGGTGCTGGTCTGGGACCTGCGCAACATGGGCTACGTCCAGCAGCGGAGAGAATCAAGTCTGAAGTACCAGACCCGCTGTATCAGGGCCTTCCCAAATAAACAGGTATGTTATTTCTGCTCAGTATGCTCTAGGAAAAATGGTGGGTTATTTCTCAAACTTTCTACATCTTTCTCTAATTAAAAAAACCCCCAAAACTCTGGTCTTTAATGTTTCGTAACCAAACTCGTGAGGGGTTGGGTGGAGGGGGGGAAGGTGTTGAGGTTTCTTGTTCCACATTAACTCTTTTAAATACTAGATGCTTAGGAATGTTTGCCACTAACTTACCAGCATATAACATTCTCATTATTTTCTCACTTTTGTCTCCTTTGTTAAAATAACCTATTTAATGCAGCACGATGCTGACATGTGACTAAAAAAACAAACACCACCCCTCTGCCCTGAAAGTTGCAGTAAAAGAGAGGAAGACAGAACTGGTGGTTGCTCAGCAGCCTTTATGCACTGTAGCCCTAGTTTCCTCAATAGGCTGTGAACAGGGGCAGGATTAAAACTGTACCAATGTCATTCCTATATTTTTCCTTTTTTTTTTTTTTTTAAACACTGTGTCATGCACTGGAGAACCCATCATCCATTATCTAGGGGGATTTGTACAATTTAGATGATCATATAGCTGTTCCCTGTAGGTTAACATCGTGCATCTGTGGCATTTCTCTTTCTGAAGTGAAGCAAGAAGATTAGCTTTCTCTGACAAAATCATGGGGAAGAGAATTTTCCCTTGTACACAGTACTAGTACAGGAATTGCAAGATAGTTACTCATTCTTGAACTGGCATGAATGCTTTGTCCATTTTCAGTTCTAGTTATAGTAAAACAAGCTGATCTACCAGATTGTATTGTATTATAGATTTTAAAGACCCTTGTTATAGCTAGATGTCATTACAATCCTATTTCTGAAAAGATCTATTATGGGCTTAAGTCAGAAGTTATAATAAAAGCATCTCAGGTTGCTCTAAGTCAGGACTGTAATTAACTGGATAAGTGGACACCACTTATAATCAAGTTTCACTGAAAATACAATTTCAACATGAGTGTTTAGTTGCTAGTATAAAGCTCTGAACTAATTTTAATGTAATTTAATTCTGAAACGAAATAGTCCCGTGAGTGTCTCTAATATTTCAGATATTTAGGCCCCGGGGGATAGGTGGGAAAATACAAGAGGTTCTTAACTTCCCTTCCTCTCCCCTTCCCAATCAACTTGTGTTTGAACCTGCAGGGGTAATTAAAAGTCTCGTTGTCAGGTTAAAACTATAGTGCAATGAGAATCTCTTTCAGAAAGCTTTTTTTCTGCATTATTTTCCTGGAAGCAGATTTTGTTGATGCCATGGACCTGTGGTAACAAACAGTTTCTGGTTGTACACAATTTAAGACTGCTTGAATTTTATTAGAGTTTAGAGGAGTGTAAGATAAATTGTATTGCAGTCTCTCCTCGAGTTGGAAACTCCTAAAATGCATATCTCCTATTTTTGTTTTGTAGGGCTATGTTTTAAGTTCCATTGAAGGTCGTGTTGCGGTGGAATATTTGGATCCAAGTCCAGAAATCCAGAAGAAGAAATACGCATTCAAGTGTCACCGTTTGAAGGAAAACAACATTGAGCAGATTTATCCAGTTAATGCCATTTCCTTCCATAACGTCCACAACACGTTTGCTACAGGTAGAACAGATACTTGACTTTATATAACATTTGCATCAGTTTAGTTTTGATTAAACCAGGTCAGCCTTCACTTCGTACCCTTTTTAAGCGTTTAAATTGTATTCCTTGCAGGGTTTTGAAATTATTTGGTGCAGTGGGAGTTAATTGCTTTAAGAGGGATTTTAGGAAATGCTCATTGTGCTCTTTACTGAATTATGCAACTGTGTTTTTACTGACAAAAATTCCTGGTAGTTTTCTCTTCCCCCCCCCCCCCCCCCCTTGACATCTTTTGAGTGTTAACCCTTCTCACTGTAATTCACAAGCCACCTTTCCCAACTGCCTTTCAGGAGGCTCGGATGGGTTTGTGAACATCTGGGACCCGTTTAACAAGAAGAGGCTGTGCCAGTTCCACCGGTACCCCACGAGCATCGCCTCGCTGGCCTTCAGCAGCGACGGCACCACCCTGGCCATCGCCTCCTCCTACATGTACGAGATGGACGACATCGAGCACCCCGAGGACGGCATCTACATCCGCCAGGTGACGGACGCCGAAACTAAACCCAAGTGAGTCCCCTGCCCCTGCCTTCAGACCTGCTCAGCCTTCAGCCCCGGGTTTTATTCATTTCCCTGAGTTCATGAATAGCCTTACTGATGCCAGCAGATAGCGCAGCTTGACAGTAGGGTTGGGTTGGATTTTTATCTGGTTCGCCCAAGCTTTCAATATCCGTAGGTTGATAGATGGCTGATGGATAAAATTGTGCCTGGTTGTTTGGTAGGAGAAGGATGTCAAACTCTTCTCCTCTTTTTGAATAGTTGCTATTATAGGAAGCTGTGGAGTTATTGCTAGCTCGTTGCTTCGAGAATTAAGTGAAGAATTCAAGAGTAAATTTGAGTAAATGTTATTGTGTTTGGCTGTTTAAAACTTGGAGTTAATGAAATCCTTACACACTGAGTGTGCACCCAGCTGTCACAGTCAGAAGTGAATCTAGATGCTGCTCTGGGAAGGCTGTGTAAAATCAAGGAGAGGTTTCTCAGCTCCCGTGTACTGGAGTTTGCAGCCCTCTGATAACACACTTTTCTATCATTGCTGCTGTCAGAATGGGGCAAACTGATTGATGGAGGTAAAAGATTTCTGTTAAGCTCTCTTTGGCATGAATGTTACATAGAAAAATTGCTGTCACCCTGCAGAATTGCACTACTCTTCATTATGCTAGCACAGGAGCAGTTGTTTTTATTTTCACATTTCTGTGGTTCGTCGTTGCTATTTTATCTGTTTTTTTCTTTTTTCTGGTACTCAAACTGTCCTAGACTTTTATCTGGTTGTCTTCATTATTTTGTATCAAAGTGGCTCTGTAAATAGACACACATAAGCAACAAAAATTCTTGAGTTTAAAACATCAAGAACTTCTCCTCACCCTGCCCCTTAAGTGATTTGTGTGTTCCTTCACAGCAGCCATTTTATTGCTGTGGGAATGTGAGGTGAAAGTTGCAGAACAATAAATATACCAGCACTCACTTGGAGGGGTTTGCTTTAAAATAATTTTAATATGGAAAAATCAAACTAGACCTATTGCAATATTTATTTCTGGGGATTCCTGAAGTTAAAAAAAAATTCCAAAGATGATAATTCAATTTATTTTTAAGATCAGATTGTACTTGCTATCAACATTTGGGAGGGTTTAAGAAAAAAAAGGTGATTAAAAAAAAAAAAAACTTGCAGCTATTGGCCTTGTAATAGTAAGAGCTGCTTTCAGTTATTTTTGTTCATTGCTAGTTATGGTTGCTAATTCTGTAGAGGCTTCATTCTGCCTTATGAGGAGGTTAATCTACAATTAAACAATATTTCCTCTTGGCCCTCCATTATTTTCTGGAACAGATGGTTCATCATTTCCTGGGCTGTTAAACACAGCGAGGTTAAGGTTAGACTCTTGGGAATCAGCTAGTTTTGAATCTTATTAGGCTGTAGAAGGAAAACTAATAAGAATACTCCTTAATATCATTTTGTGACTGTAAACAATTATTTATTAGCAAACAATTGATCCCAGAAGGGCAAATTGTTTGAGTCAGTAATGAGCTGAGAAAAGACAGAGCATCTCTGTGTATTTGGAAAATAATTGTAACGTAATTGCAATGCATTTAGACAGGCATCTTTTTGGACCTGTTTCTATCTTTAAATGAATTTCTGCAAACATTAACAAGGTTTATATGCTCTTCTGACATTTACAAGTTGCTTGTGTCAACCTTAGGGCACTAAGAATGATGTGTATATTTTAATGTTACAGTAATGTGAGTCATCTCTGGTTTATTCTAAAAATAAGTTACTTAGGACAGGAGACTAATTAGTGATCTTTTTGCATGTTAATTTGAAGCACTTAGCGTCTCTGCACGATGCATTCCTAAATACAGTGAGATGGTGCCATAATATAGAAAAAAAACTTTGGAAGATCAACTTTTTGATCACTAAATTATTCTATATTGTATCTTGATACAAGTGGAAGCAGTTTTTCTAAACACATCTGCTTTTATAGAATGTTGAATGTTTTACCTGCTTATGATCACTCTAAATACTGCTTGCTGAAATACAGTTTGTTTATTTCAGGTCTACTTAGACTTCTGGTGATACTTCTCCTCTGCAAGAGGTGCCCACCTGCTCCTGACAAGACTAAACTAAAACAACAGAAGTGAGAAGAACAATCTTTGTACTGAAGCTGTTTTTAATCAAGAAATATTTGTTTGTATATTAGTTTGTCTTAATCTGTTGTTACTTTCCTGCTTATGTTAATGAAACTGTTTTCTTTTTCTGCTGTCTGTAGCTAAGTTAGTTCACTCCTAAAGGCAACTTTGCATATACCCTTTTAAAAACTCACCACTTCTTGTAGTATCTAATTATGAAAACTTCCAGTGACCTTGTAATTGTTCAATAAATAGCCACAGGTTTTTTGAAAACACTGTGTAGCACCCCTTACTGTTTGCAAACAAACGTTAAACCAAACCTTTAAGTTGCAAGAATTCCTGAGTTCTAGATCTTCCTGATGGAAAACTTCTGAAACTTTTGTCTTTTTCCAGTGAGCTGAACTGGGAATGTCCTCATGACTTGGGGACGTTGGCTCTTCAGGCAATGTTTTCACAGGGCTGTGAAAGCCTAATGTTGTTTTAGGTGGGCTTCTTTGTATCAGTGACTTGATTTTTCCTGGAGAACCATTGGCTGTTTCTGGAGGAAAGAACTTGAACACATAGTAGCTTTTTATTTTATTTTTTTTACACATACTGCATAAAAGACTAAAATTAATGATTCTTTGGAAGAATTGAAG